AGTCACACACAGCCTGGTACTGCGCTGGAGTGCACACTCCCCTCTCACTCTTCCGAGGAACACAGAGTCACACCCAGCCCCACTGCATGACACACATACACAATGACAACCTGTCAGAATGATACACACAAGCCCCCAGTCTCTGACCGCAGGCCATGGCCAGAGTCTCTGACCCCTGTCTGTGTCTCACCAGTGCAGCCTCAGGGCGTGCAGGAAGGCGGACAGGCCCTCCATCACCAGCAGGATGGAGATGGTGAGGACAGCGAAGACAGAGAACACCACGAACAGGACCACCGAGCCCACCAGACCGGACCAGGACAGCGCCAGGTGCATCACCATGGTCCACAGCACCTCGGACAGCTCTGAGAAGGAGAGCGCATGCTGAGTGGACACTGGACACAGCACTCACAGGGGCAGGGTGTGTGTAGTGTATATACTGTAGCAAATGTAGCATATATACAGCAGTATATATAGTGTGTGTAGTACATATAGTGTATGTAGTGTATATACTATATATACAGTAGTGTATTTAGTATGTGTAATGTGTATAAGTGCACATAAATAGTATATATAGATCTGTAGTGTATACAGTGTGTGTACTGTATATAGTACACAAACAGCAGTGTATATAGTGTGGTGTATATACTATACATGCAGTAGTATATAGAGTATGTGTAGTGTATATTGTGTGTGTAGTGTATATAGTGTATACTCCAGTTATCTGATATTACACGATGCTGCAGTTGAGAAGAGTGCAGTTCTGCAGGGAGCAGTGGGAGTGGGTGTGGGCTGTGACGAGCGGGTGGCAGGAAAGTGGACTCACGCGCGTGTGCCAGGCTCAGGGCCCACAGCCGCAGGTAGGAGGCAGTGTTGGAGATGCAACCCAGGCAGTACTCTATAGTGTGGATCGCCTGGTGCATGAACACCTCTGAGAACTGGAACTGCAACAGCACCAACAGTTAACACAGCCCAGAGCTACCGCATTAATACAGCACTATCAACCCCTCTCTCTCAGTGGAGTGTTAATGTCCTGGAGTGTCCAGTCAGTGTGTCTGTACTGTATTAACCCCTCTCTCTCAGTGCAGTGTTAATGTCCTGGAGTGTCCAGTCAGTGTGTCTGGACTGTATTAACCCCTCTCTCTCAGTGCAGTGTTAATGTCCTGTAGTGTCCAGTCAGTGTGTCTGGACTGTATTAACCCCTCTCAGTGCAGTGTTAATGTCCTGTAGTGTCCAGTCAGTGTGTCTGGACTGTATTAACCCCTCTCTCTCAGTACAGTGTTAATGTCCTGTAGTGTCCAGTCAGTGTGTCTGGACTGTATTAACCCCTCTCTCTCAGTGCAGTGTTCATGTCCCGGAGTGTCCAGTCAGTTAATTGTGCTCTCTCAAACCTCTTCATGCTCTGCTCCTTGACTCTCCAGATCTCCATCAGCAGCATTGATAGATGCTGTTTCTTCTGAAGCCAGTAGGGGGCGGCGGTCTGAATTAGATGGGCGCTGAGAGAGATGAAAGGCAAGAAGAGGGAGTGAAAGACAAGAGATGCAGAAAGTGCTTTAACACTCTGTACGGGACACTGACACACTGTGTTAATAAATAAAACACATATCCACTGGCAACGCATCTCTCTCCTTAATGTCGAGCCCAGACCGACTGGCACACTGGCCTTGTGTTCATGTTTATCACTGGTGACTGACATAATATAACTCATGCAACAAAATGATATTCATGCCCATCAGTGGGGCACAGACACTGGGTTCATGTACATCAATGTATATGACTGGCACGCTGACACAGTGTTAGTAGTATATACCTGGCACACCGTGTTAGTGGTATGTAGTGCCCCTGTGTCTTCAGGTTTGTGTTCCAGCTGAGGTCCTAATCACCTAAGTGACATGCTGCATGCTGCCACACTGTTAGTGTATATAAGTGACATGCTGCACTTTTAGTGCACTGTTAATGTATACAACTGGCACACTGTGTTAGTGTATATAAGTGACATGTTGCATGCTGGCACACTGTTAGTATATAAGTGACATGCTGCACTTTTAGTGCACTGTTAATGTATACAACTGGCACACTGTGTTAGCGTATATAAGTGACATGTTGCATGCTGGCACACTGTTAGTATATAAGTGACATTCTGCACTTTTAGTGCACTGTTAATGTATACAACTGGCACACTGTGTTAGTGTGTATAAGTGACATGTTGCATGCAGCACTGGAACAAGTAATAGGTTTATTCCATGCTGAAAAAAAGAAGAAAGAGAACACAACGTTTCAGCTGTGGAGCCTTCTTCAGGTGTCAAGCACTGTGTAAGTGTATACAAGTGACATGCTGCATGCTGACAAACTGTGTTAGTGTATATGACCGGCATGCTGACAGTGTGTTAATGTCGAAAATGGGCAGACCTACTCTCTGCATTAATATCTGTAACTGACTCACTGATGCTCTGTCTTCATGTGTATAAATGGCGCTGATGTACAACGTTCAAGTACTGTATTGAAGTGGTACATGACACACTGCCTCAATGTGTAACTCGCCTACTGAAGCACAGTGTTAATGTATGTGTAAACCACACCAAAGTGCTGTGTACACATATGTAACTGGCATGCACACATGCACGCAGACGGAGACAAGCCCACCTTGTTTCTGAGCTTGGCTCGGTGGTTACAGTAGGTATGGAGAGGTTTCCCAAGCAGCAGGACAGGCACTGCGCACACAGCACAGATCACCAGCACCTTCTGGACAATGAGCTGAGAGAGAGAGACAGTGTGCGCATTACTGTACTGCAGATCAGGGAGTCTGGCTTGAACCCCAATCCTCATCGCAGACACGCACAGTTACAGAAGAGTTAGAGAAATTAGGGCAGACTGACAGACAGGTGTGCAGTCCAGGGCACAGAGACAGAGAGACAGACAGGTGTGCAGACAGTACCTGTCCAGGGTACAGTCCAGGATACAGAAACAGACAGGTGTGCAGACAGTACCTGTCC